AATACCTAAAGCGCAGGATCGAAAACTCTCCATTTTCAGTGACTTTGCAGAATACCTGTTTGACATGCTTACTTTGTTAGCTGTATCGTTGCTTCAGCACTAGAAATGAAGTAACTGCGAATTCCTCCTCTCGAGCAGGGACAAGGGGGAGAGAGGACATGGGAGGATGGGGAAGGATGGGGAAGGGGGATCGTTTTTTATGTTAATTTCATTGAAGTCTGAGCTGGGTAGCCAAGCATTGAACTGGATTTCTGGGAGCTTTGTATACACAGTCACGGTGATACTGATAAAACAAAAAAACAGGATTATAGCACTTCCAGAACTTTTACGTGATTCGAAAAAAATGGAATATTTGTTTTTCGCTTGTTTATTTGTGTACTTATTTCTTTTTTGACAATCTGAACAAATGATTTTGAAGGACATGCTGTCTTTCATTCAGTCCTCCAAGACAAGTTGTCGTATGGTATGGAACCCGAACAGGTAGGCGTTCTCACTTTTGCCGTTTAACAATTACTGTTGACTAGCGATTCTTCTAAATGAGTACTGTAAACTGTTGACTAATCATCGATTTTCAAGCCAATGTCGGGTCAAAATATTGGTTTTTGCAGGCAGTGTCGGCGGCCCTCAGCAGACCGCAGGAGGGGTTATTTCGAGCGCACAAGACAGTGTAAGATTGTTTGTACTGTCTTTGTTCATTATTTCTGTAAACAAACAACGTCTCGCAAGGAATAGCCTGATACCGTAACTGTGTGGCTGGAATAGCTGGTGTGACCGTGGCAGCTCGTTTGCCTAATTGGCCATAAAACGATAACGTCATGGGAACCCGAAGCACAGTTCCTGGCCTTTTTCCCTCTGGAGCACTTGTCTATGGAAGGGAACCTTCCCATCTGGGATGTTGGGCCTGAAGTCGCTATCATGGCTGGTTTGACACTCACGAAAACAAGTGCATCGATGAGAGCAGTGATTTCGTGCTACGTAACTGAGCTGTTGAGATCTCGGACAAGTTTATGCAGTGGGATTTGTTGGTCTGATAGAGAAGTTCGTGTTTGTCATTTGGGGAGGATTATATATACACTTTTTACTCCCGCTCTTTCCCTTCCTACCGGTCAACAATATTGTGGAAAACGGTAGGTGGGGGACGCAGCTTTAAGGGCGATGTGGGCCCGTTTTCCGCGACATCATGCTTGGTCTTAGTTAAGAGATCATGGGGGCCCTTGAATTTACAAACTCCAAATAAAAAGGCACGGACCAAAGAGTTACAGTACCCGTCTATAAGTAGTAAGTGAAGCCCGTCTTCTGCTTCCTGTCTTACTTTTCTCAAAACCCACATGGGTTCATTTTTTCCAAGTAAATTCCTTTTTCAGGCATCCAGATCAGGAATTCGTCCACAATGGCAGCCCATGACTTCGTCTGGATATCAAAAAGGATTACAGGGTTCAAATTTACCAACGTACTTATCTCCTCAGCAGCAGCAAGGAACTGGACGACAAAACGCCACCGGAGCGATCCAGTACCAACCCCTGAATCAAGCTAGTGGCGGTTATAACGGTGCAAACAACGGCTACCAAACTGTGGCCGTTACTGGTTACTCACAGACCGGCACTGGTTACAGCCCTATTTCCAATCAGATTTCAAACCCGTCGGCTGTTCAAACGCCACAGGGCGTTCGAGGAGAGAGTCAGCAAGCCTGGAATTCTCAGTACAATGGGGCTAATGACTATTTACCCTATCAAACACCAAATCCAAACATGGGCGGCCATATCCAAGGAACGTCTTTCCCTCAACAACCGCAACGAGATGATCAGACGGGACAGACGAGGACGTATCAAGTCACAGCTACTTACGACGATACGCAAAGGCTAGCAGGATCATCTTCCACTGGCTGGACGCAAACGACAGCATCTCCACCTTTTACACAGGCACCGTATTCGCAATCCAATGTCCCAGTTCAGGGAGTCTTTCCCACTGCCCCTATCAGCATATATCCCGTTCAATCACCTACCACCAGCAGCGGAACTCAGGGCTATACATCTAGTGCATCTGGAATGTCCTATACGACAACGCCTTTTCCATACAGTTCAACTCAGAACCCAAATCAGTGGCCCACTTCAACCCAGAACCCAAATCAGTGGCTCACTTCTCAAGGTGTCATTAATCCTAGTCAGGGTCTTTACGGCACCACTGCTACTCAATCTGAAAGTACCTACCCAGGTAGTAGCGTAGATAGTGAGCGATTCTTTACAACTTATCAACCAAATGGATTCCAAGGCCAATCCCAATCTTCTTCTAGTTGGTTCCCCTCATCTAGCCAAAGCCAGTACACAAACCAGTACGATCAGGGGTCAACTCAAAGCACCATGTACGGTTCCACGTCACCCACTCCTTACAACCCATCAACAACTCCAATGCCTACTTTTGGGTTCACTTCACCCAGCCTCCAGTCCTCGTACGACTTTCAAACAAATGGGCCTCAGAGCTCTTCAAGTTCTCCCTCTTCTTCTTGGTCGACGAGTGGCTTCTCCACGTCGTCCCCGCCGCCTACGCAATATGGTCAAACAGGTGGCCCTTCTGGGCAATCTCAGAGCTCCTCGATGGGATTCACTTCACCCACTCAGTACAATCCTTCAACGACACAAATGCCCACTGTCGGGTTCACTTCGTCCAGCCAGCAGCCTTCATACGATTATCAAACCAACCGACCTTCAAGCCCTTCAAGTTCTTCCTCTTCTACTTGGTCTACGAGTGGCTTTGCAACATCGTCTACGCCGCCAATACAGTACGACCAAACAGGGAGCCCTTCTGGGCAATATCAAAGCTCCTCAGTGGGTTTAACTTCACCCACACAGCAAACTCCTTATGGCTACCAAACAGGTGGCCAAGAAACTCGAACACAACCATTTTCCAACAGTATTTTCTCGTCTACACAATCAACACCCTTGCCTTATCAAACTACTGGAGCTCAGGGTCAAGCTCTAACCTCTTCCCCTAGCGGGTTCACCTCTTCTACGCAGTCACCCTACTCAACAACGAGATCGGATACGAATGGGGTGAGCTTTGAGGTGACGACTTATCACGACCTTCCTTTACGGTCTTATCTGTTTAGCTTTATGGTCAGAACGCTGCTGGGCAGTTTGTAGAACCGACAGCTCAACTACCGTATTCATCGCCTCGTCCTACAGTAAGTTGCTCTCACACTGATTCTACTTCTTTCGAATCATAAAGGCGTCAGACACTGAATGTTAACCTTATGGGACCAAAAATTTTGTCAGCCGGATTTTTTCCTGACCCCAAGCAAAGCCGATTATTTATGCTTTCTCTGTATCCCATAAAAATGGTTTTACAGTGGTAGTCAGGAATTGTTTGGTATTTTAAGGATGGGACAACTCGACAATATAATTCCAACGAACCACTAAACGTACAGCGCGGAAGTAGCAACATTATTCCAGGTAAGCAGTAAAATTGAAAATTGGTGAGTAATTTTCAATTCAAGTCCTTGTGGTAAGTTTACAGAAATTTGATTTACAAAGGCGAACTCCTTCGAAGTGATTGGGTTCGATAGAGAAACATGGTGCCCAAAAATAACAGTCATATATGATCTTAGAAGTCAAGAACGGTCGTTATTCAGGGTTACAATTCTTGGGAGCCTTCAAAGGTGGCCCGTATTAATGCAGGGTGGAGGTAGAGGGAAGGGCGAACGGCTCTAAACTCCTCGGTTGGTAGCAGCACTCGTTCTCATTCCTTTCTTCCCAGTTTTTACAGACAGTATGAAGGGACCTTNCTCGGTTGGTAGCAGCACTCGTTCTCATTCCTTTCTTCCCAGTTTTTACAGACAGTATGAAGGGACCTTCCTGTCGCACTGCCCTATACTTGCTGTCTCAGGCCAAATACTTCTTCAAGAGACTACACTTTTAAAGGGTAGTTTGATGACCGGTTGAGCAGCCTAGACCCATTTTCTCATTCTTGAAACTCCCTTGCAGGAAGCTTTTCAGGAAACACTCAATTCTTCGATGTTCCGGCCAACAATACGCCAACTCCCAAAGGTAAAGCTTACTATTTTTACTGCACAACTTTACTAACGGCAGATTATGTCTTTCAGCTACCCTTCTCTCAGCGATCTTAGCCATTGCCCTCATGAATGTTCTGTTGTGAAATGGATCGATCATCACTATCGAAAAGATCTGTTCAGTTTCTGTATATAAAGAACCACAACTGAGTAGATTACGATAGACCATGACCAGAACCCGCAAAGATTCTCAAACCTACTCCAAATTTGACCCGATTGGCTCACCTTGAATACGTCGTTCATCTGAAATGCCCGTGGTTGCATTGTTTCNACTCCAAATTTGACCCGATTGGCTCACCTTGAATACGTCGTTCATCTGAAATGCCCGTGGTTGCATTGTTTCCGTCGCATCTGCGCATTTTTCACATAATAACTGAATAAACATGAAATTGATTACTGTAGTGTACCGTAGTACAAATTTGAGAGGTGCAATTACTTACTTCTAAAATAGGCATAAGTGGATGTTTCCTAATGCTGTCTGCAACTGTTGANGCATCTGCGCATTTTTCACATAATAACTGAATAAACATGAATTGATTACTGTAATGTACTTTAGTACGAGTTTGAACTGCAAATACTTACTTCTAAAATAGGCATAAGTGGATGATTCCTAATGCTGTCTGCAACTGTTGAGTCTACCGAATTCGAAGTTGACGCTTCATCCAGTTCGATGGTGGGTCCACTTTGTTGCATCGGCTATGACATACGACAGGTGAAGTTCTTTACGGCCAGCCACAGACGCTTTAAAACAAAGGAGTTAGGACATCTCAGGTGGGCATCGGAAAGACGTGTTGAAGAAAGCACGGAAGTACTACTTAAAACAAAGGGTTTCCGCTAATACAACGAGTGAGAGCCGTGTATTCGAAGACATAAATAATCTTTAGAGGGTCCAGGCAAGGTCAGGCGATGTCGAGACTAGACAGCCAGGCACTGAAGGGTGCTCTGCTGGTGACCGACGTTTTTCTTACGGAGTGGTCACATGGAACGACAATCAGTTGCCAAGCAATTTGCATCTCAGTGCCATCTGCCTTTCATCCTGTAGTACGTTGAGAACCAAATTAGGCATGATTCTGAGTGTGGCTCAAAAGAAAGGGCAAGAAAACGATCAGCCATCAACGAAGGAAGTTTTAGTATGGTGTGTACTTACCAAATAAGCTTTTGCAAATGAGAATGTAAAACAGATGCGTTCAGAGATGGTTCCTTCCTTCTACCACTGAACCAAGGCAGAAGTGTTAGAATGACCAGAACCACTATAAGCTCCTTCCTCTAGGTCGTGGCTCCTGATCCTGGCAATTTCAAAATATTCTTGAAATACATTTCTGTAAACTAGTAGTTCAGGCACACTTTCAGTTCAGAACTCCTTCATTTTCAACCATCATCAAATAGAACCAATGGTGATATCGTCGTCCTTCACGCTGTTCTACTTTGTTTCAGTACGCGATTGCAAGTTGCTTCATACGGCCAACCAGTTAGCTGCAAGATTATTGAGGGTCTGAGAGCTCGCTGACTTCGTGAACTTATCAGTCATTCAAAATCGATCATATCTAGGAATTTCGAGCTCTTCCCCCATAATTCCGTTGTGATCCGCAAAACTACGATGCTGGTTCGCTGATTGTTCTATCCCTAAGCATAGCCTTGCTGATGAATCTTGAAACCTTATCGTGAACACTGTACAGCACCGTTCCACAAAAAAAACTTGAAGTTTTGTTGCTGGTCAGCCTACTTTCAAGGAGCGATAGACTTTCATTTAAAATTCTAGTGGTGTTTGGTCGCGCGACTGGTCTAATAACCTGCGGGGGCTACCCGACCCTGGAGCCAGAGAATTGATATTCGTCTGTACAAGTCTGGTCTAAGCAAAGTAATGGAAAGCCTAAATGGCAATGAAGGGTATCGATATCGATACTGACGGCTCCAGCAGCACCACTCGGTATCCCTACACCTTCGGTACTAGTTATCCCCCAGGAAAGCTGCTTGCCAGATGGTTTGGAAATTCTCATTCTATGCTCATGCTCATAAATGGCTCATGAATCTAGAGTCTGTGAACCCCTTCCGATTCTTGAAGCCCATGTTCGTAGGCTTGTAAACAATTTGAGAGCCTCCTCCAGCTGTAAGACACAGGTTTACCGCCGATTGTCTGGGATATTCAATTTATAGGTTACACATGGCCGATCATGTTTTCCAACAGGTGGGCATTCACGAAATATATGTTTATCTATGAGAAAGGGCGATGAGAAGGGAAAAGAGTACAAGTATGGAGACTACACTACGTAGAGGAAAGGAAATGGACGCAATAGAAGGAAAAAGAGATTGTATGAGCTCATTCACAAAAACTCGGCAATGGCTGCCTTCCAGAGAGATTTATTATCCAGAAAACAATGATACAACAAAAAACACGGCTCCAAAAGAGGGAAGACAGTGATTGACAGTAAATGCTTGACGATCGCTGCGACATGATCGGCTAGTTGGCTGGCTGCTCCAACTCGTTCACTTCCCGTCCACGTCCCGATCTAACGTCGCCGGCTACCTCAAAGGGTTATCGTTGTCGTAAACGGGCCGTAGGTCCCCTCCGTGAACGACTTCGCACCCTACCGCGATGCGCATCGAATCGAATTATACGACATACGTAGTACCCAACTCAAGGTCCTGATAAAGAAGATATGCACCATTCCTCGTGAAAAGTCACAGATTTACCAGAGAAGCTTCTCAGGAGCAACCGTCCGTTTAGACTCAGCTGTTGCTGGCCACTCTATGCGAGTTCTACTTCAATTTACCACTTCAGCCGTTCTAGGAAATCAACAAGGAGCATGCCGTCAAGAGGAAACTGTAAAAGATGGAAAAAGGATAAGCATGGCCGCATTATTATGGTCGTTCTTCTCTGTTGTCTCTCTGTGCCCAGGTTGTCCGATTTCACTTGGTTTTGGTGAAAGAGAGTTCTCGATTGGATATCTTAAAGAATCTAACGACAAGCAGGTCTTCGAATTACCAAAAAAAATCGCAAGGACGCTGTAGTTCTTCTCAATACCCTTTACTTAACTTTGGGTTTTGAAAGTCGACTGCTATTTTCACCTGGAACCTTGCCACAGGGGTAGCTTTCCTAAGTTTCAGCGTGATAGAAGCTAAATGGCAAGATTTGAGAGGGCCTGTTGGCGCTGTAATCATCTCCAAACCCATGCTCTGGCAATTTGACAAAACCTTTGGCAATGGTGATGGCTCATAAAGAAGAATAGTCAATCAGCCTGTCACACCCACCTTCTGACCTTTAGTAGTTTCTTTACAAAGATCCTGGAAAACAGGGCTGTAACAGCAACCTTTTTCAATACGTATTTTAGAAAAGTGTAGAATTAGTCCAGTAGTGATGGCATGGAATTCCTGCACGGTTTCAGGCGAACCACCTCCTCAAGCTCATGATTTTTGTATATTACTATGCTATTGTACTATATAAACTTAACTACTCGTCATTTAATCTCATACATCCAAACTTATATACTTAGAAACTCCTATTAAACTGGAGTATCAGAGGTATTGTGCAGCTTATTGTAAAGAGTAAGCGAACAGGGTAACAGCTAATGATGGAGGTTGAACCTACCAGGAACATTTAGTAGGGCATATCAAATTACAATCGAGTTGAAAAAGGGGAAACACTCGCAGACTTCACAAAGCTATATGGAGGGAATAGCAACTAGACTCTCCACAGAAAATATAAAATACTCTTTGAAAACGGGAAATTGAAATGAATCAGTAAATAAATCTTTGAGGCGAATGATTCCGGGAAGTTATGAGGGAACGGGAAAAGGCAGTGAAGTTATTTTTGTCGATGATGCAGCAGCCACTGTACGGAGTATGTTTGGCCAAGCAGAATATCAAAGTCGACACGGGGGTAACAGCATCTAATCGTCCCATAAAACAATTTATGGCGCGCACCGGGGTGAAACACCGTGCTTGAGAAGAACCGCCGTCAACGCACATACGCGCTTCTCCACCGATCACAATCAATCAATCACCGGCACTGGGCATGAATCTGTTTCCCTGATCGTTTCCTGATTGATAACGAATGAGTTACTGATGTCAGAATTGAATGGCAGCCCAAATGACATCAAATCACCGTGCTCAGCACTGACTTCTGACTGACAGATGACATAGCAAGGACAAAGTGCACGACATCGATGAATCGCTACATGAAGTACTATGGACTCCACCGCAATCAGAAAACCAGCAGTAATGGAAGGTGGCTAGGTTCCTCGAAATACCCCAGGTGGGCCAGCTCATGTTTGATTTGAAGTAATTCGTCTTCCCAAAAGGACATAGAGCTGTAAACGTCGCACTCCTCACAGGAGGGAGTCGATCGCACCGGAGAAGCGATCCTGTGTAAGTCGGCTATGTCCAAGCAGGCCAAACTCATCAGTCAATCCGACAACTACTAGCAGTCAGACATACTCAGTACAACAACGGTGATAATCGTTTTTAGGGCCTCGCTAAAGATAAGCAGCTCCCACCAGCTTCAACCCTTCTTCAATAGAAACATACGGCCCGACCATCATGTACTCCCTCCTTCCATACTTACATACGTATGTGGTAGTTTAGAAAGGGTATGGGCTCCACTGCATAGATTAGTCATAGTAGGACTCTTCACCTCCTACTCTTTGAGAAAGATTAGATTTCCGGCACAGCTAAGGCCGCACTTAACGTGGACGCCTGGTTTTGGAGATTCGACCGAGATGGTGCATCCTGACCCATGCAAGTTAAGCATTGGACCATTGAATCACGAGCCTAAGTCAGAAAGTTCAAAGCATCTTATAAAAAGGTGAAGGAACATTGCAGGATAATCACTCTGAATATAATGTATAAAGGCTTATTCCTGATTTGCATTCTGTACGGAACTAACGGCATCATAGCCTTGAGTGAAACTTCTAAGTGAAATTTACAGACTGTTCTATTTCTAATATGAACTTTAAAGCTTTACCCTCAACGAACCAAAAAAACCATTCCCACTTATTCACATGGTTGATTTCAAGCCTGAACACCCTTTCAATTGGGCCGATCCCCGCCAACACAGTGGGACTTGAGGACTGCACCGACTATACATCCAACGAATTTTTTTCTAACTAAGCAAACCCAGAGGAAGTGAAAGCAGAATCCTCAAACCCCCATGCTCTGACAGTGAAATAAGCTACACAGAAGATAAGGCTCTCGGCAGTGCTTGTTATAAGACCATTCCTCAGGGGCCTGTTCGAGCTCCTGTGTCTTCATAGAAAAAACGTTTAATGTCTTCACTCTAAAGGCTATTGAAAGCGTTGAAAGAAACGTACTGCAACCTCAAATCACGCACTCCTCGAACGGTTTCAACGTTGGAAACTTCACGTTTTTTAGCTCCCAATTTCCTTTCATGGGAAATGGAGAATGCTCGGACTTCGGTAGCCTTTAGTCTCTGCAAGGTAGCAGCCAACTTTATAAGAAGTGAATTCCAAAGAAGCTGTAGTTCGAACGCTGCAGGCACATTCCCTTAAGGTAATATAGGAGGCTTAAAACTTGCACCGCTTTGATCTTCATACTTTGATTTGGTGATTTTATGGATGTCGTGAATCCATCGCCATCCTCTTCAGGACCAAATACTTAGCCCATGATGATGGCCCAAGTGAATCATTATATGGTTGTCCTTCCACGTTCGGTTAAGCCATTTCCCATGCATCTGACTGCCCTAGAAGCAACCCGATTTTCAGGGATATCGGAAAACCACTTGTGGCTCGAATCCCCTAACGGAGCTGCGGATAAGAATCGTAATGGCCCATTATTTGAAGACGGGTTTGTAATCGTGAAAGGGTTAGAAAAGTGAGGACTACTTTTTTAATGAGATGGTTCACCCTTAGAGTAACCTAAGTAACCTGACACTCCATTCTTCTGTACTCCATTTAACACACAAAAATCGTTTTTATCCGTGACTCGACGGGGCGGGAGGGCGCGACGTTCACATACGCCTCCATTACTTCACATCCGCTATTCATCACAGCTACATGAAGACAACCTCCCATTGTGCTTTCCAAGAAGAGCTCAAGTTACTACTTACTATTACCTGGATCCGTAAGAAAAGTTCGCAGCCACGGGTTAGATGTTCAGCACTGACCAACCGGTTTTGCTGCACGATTTGTCACCTACTCTTCCTCAGAACCTATAAATGTTATGGGAGAACATTAACCTCTGTTTTTCCGAGTTTCCAAACATTAAATCTTTCTATTGAAAATACGAGCCCACTGGACAGAACACTTGGCTTTAGAAGTTACCCCACTTGTTTTCCCCCAGGTTTTCCCCACATTTCAGAACTGCCAGACTGCCGCCCCACACCTTCGAGGCAGCCAATTCATGACTTCTCCGAAGTCATTGAAATGTACTTGTGCTGGATACATACCACATTTTTCGAATAACCTGATAGTATCATAAAGTGAGCCCCAGAGGTAACGATGAGTGTGGGAGAGATTCGTTCAGGGAAATGGTTGCACGGGGTTGTAAATCGGCTATCCAGGTGTAGTCATTATATAATCCAAATATTCAATCGAACATTCAAACGATTCCGATATGATGTCAAGGACCTGAATACTCCCTGGAAAGCCCACCTGGACAAATCTGGAGGGATTAAATCTGAGGGAGATGAATTACCATCTGGTAATTGGGCCCCAAAGCTTCAGGTTTTGTCCCGAGGGGATTGAATTTACTATGAAAAGTAGCCCGGTAGTATTGAAATTCGAAGTTTTGGTTGGTATTGGTGTCTTGGATATTGAAAATTTCAAATAACCTCACAAGTCCGGGATACAGCTGGAAGCAATATATCATATTTAGTCCTTCTTATCTCTTATTATTACTCTTTATCACTTATTTAAATCATTCAATTGAATAGTTGTTAACCTTTCTACTTGACCGCCTATCATGTCGATTACCACTTTGATCTCCGATCCGATGGCGGGAATCGCTACCGCCACCCAGCACAAGGGGGTCTATCCCTGACGAAGTTCAGTTTTTTCTAGCCCATACTCACCCCCATGACGGTTACTGCTGCTACTATTTTTCTAGCTGTACTCTATGTTGTTCAGGTGAGTAAGCTTCATCCTATTTATGGTCGTTACCATCCATTAACCTCACTTGTCGCCTAAAACCTCTTTCATCCATCCAAAGTTTTTTTTTTCTCGAAAAAGTGTGATGAGCATGATGAAAACTGAGGTTTTTTCATGATCATATGGTGATTACACTGTCATGACTCACTATTGTGATAGATTACCATTCATCGGGTGGACTGTGATCCCATTGACTAAGCTGGAAGCTATTCCCACATGATTCATCCCCTGGGTGTCATATGGTCTGATTCGCAGAAAAGTACCAAAGAGGAATGCAGTGGAATAGAGCGCACTGGTTCTCCCATTATATTCTGGGAGGTCGTTGATTCTGTAGGGTGTCCTGTGATGTAGAGGTGCATGGGGGTTGTGGGTGAGCATCGATTTCCGGTCATCTTCGATCCAGTCAACCATCATCGCAACTGCGCGACAGCGACACAGGAAAAAGGGGAAGAATCATTGTAAAGCCCTTGAATAACAGATGCCTTCTGGAGCAAAAGAAGCCAGGCGCTTGCTTTGATAGCTGGACACATGCTTTGCCCTTACTTTGAACCGGGTCCGACTGAGAGGCACTTTTTCAGCGTCTTCAGTTCATTCATTCTAACAGCTCCCTTCCCCAAAAAGGTTAAAGTAAGCCCGCAGGGACCGAAAAAATGAGAGTTAGGTAGGCAAACGATGTGGTTCCTCTAAATCATGTTGATGATGGTAGTTTTAGTTGCTTTCAATGGAGAGTAAAAGTTGGTAGTCAATAATACCTGTTCCGGATCCATCCTGTTCACAGTTCGGTAGGGAAAAGCTTGCTGCAAACGTTGTAGAGTGATTTTTCAAGGAGACCATGCCCCGTACTATTTCATTACCCTACCCCTCCTTACATATCTACTAACCCTTTATACTTCTACTTTATTTTTCAGTCATTTCCATTAACCTGCAATAACTCCACGCAATTCGACTGTCAAACATCCGATGCCCATCGATGCATTCCACTAGAATGGTTGTGCGATGGACTGAAAGATTGCACAAACGGATTGGTAAGATTCAGCAGACAACTCGGTTCGTCTTCTCTTCAGCTGATCCAGTGGGGTTCATTTAGGATGAATCCCATTGCTCGTACTTACACACCTGTCCTGAAGGCGATTTCATCTGTCGTTCCGGTGACTGCGTATCCAGCCATTACAAATGTGACGGTGAAGTTGATTGCCCAGGAGGTGAAGATGAAAATGGTTGCGAATTTTTCTCGGCGTACGAACCTGCCTCCAGGTATGTGAACGAGTTTCTTCGGAGCAATTTCATCAAAGGCCAATACAGCTGAAACCGTTATATATTGGATTTCTTTGTTTTGAGCACTCGGAAAAAGTAAACGAGTCCAAAAGAGATCAGGCGGGTTAGTACTCCTTGAAAAAGGAGAACCTTCGACCTTTCCGGTGACGTGATCAGCCGATGTCAAGGGATCACCAGTGTGTTTCCTGAATGTTACTACAACTGGAACTGCCACTGAGATACACTTGGCTCATTCCATTCACATACTATCGGCTCTTACCACTTCCTATCACCGGCAGTTATCATTTTAGCTCTGCAGCTCCTGTCAGCTTCTCTTCACTTCATAACGGGGATCCCAGTCAATAGATCTATTTCTAGAATATAATTAGAGGGAAGATTGAATTGCTACGAAACGTGTGGGATTCTGATTATCTCAGTGCTCGATATGTTCCTCAGAAATAAGTAATATCAGCATGGTATGCCGTAAAGGGAATAGTAGTGACAAGGATTTTTTGAATGGTTCAGTTCTCAGTTTTCCTTGAGAATTCGATTTCAAATTCGAAATCTGTCGGATTTCAGTGTTGTACATACAGCTTGCCATGCAAACATGTTCCAATGTCGGCATGGTCCATGCATAGCTAAGGCATACATTTGTGATGGAGAAATGGTACCACGTTTGACTTCCTGGATCGAACTTCTTTCTGAACCATGAAAGCGTCCTTGCAGGATTGTCCACTAGGCGAAGACGAACGGAACTGTACTAAGCCTGGGGAAAGTCCATCGCAAAGGAGTGAACCACCCGTCGAATGCAACAATCCTGGTATGGTTATGTGTGCTGATCACACAGCATGCTTTCCTAAGCATTGGATTTGTGATGGCGAAGCTGATTGTCTCGATGAAAGTGATGAGGTATGTCACCACAACCAGTTTACCTCTTCCCATGGGAAAGATTCTTAGGTAGAGGCCTAGAGTTTACTCGCATTATCCCGATGGAAAAGGGCATACCTTTTTGTCGAAGAGAATAAGTCAGTGAGCCAACAGCAGATTTCAGTCTGACTGCGCGTTGTCTGTAGATAAGTTCCTAGCAGAAAGCGTCACGGAGCTCTGCCATCCAGGAGAGCACCGATGCGATGGAGGTGAGTTCAAAGGCACAGACCATGGTGTCTCTCCAAACCGGCCCGTTTTCAAGGTTCGAAGTGTATTCCTGTGAATCGCACCTGTGATGGCAAACTTGACTGCCCAGATGGTGACGATGAGGGACCATTGTGTAAAGAATGCGAGGTGAGGCGAACGCCATGCGAGTATAAATGCGTCAATACACCTTTAGGTAAGTTGTGAAAGTAGTCTGGAGACAAATATTTTGGATCTGGATGAAGTGGTTCGTTTTCGGTTCTCGCTGCGTCTGCCCCCATGGTTCATCTCTGAATCCGGACGAGTACACATGTACACAGAAGGACGAGTGTTCGACACCAGAAGGCAAGCAATGCCAACATTATTGCGAAAATCGGCTTAATTCGTGAGTTCCATAGATGATTCTTGATCAAACTGTCTGAAAAGGTAGAGTAGGCAACTTTCCAGA